TTATTAATGTGGACTAAGTTCAGAAATTCATTAACTTCTCATGCACTAGTTCTATTTTCACTGTTTCCTGTTAATAGAACCGTCAATGTGTGTCCAGAATGACCACAACTCTGTTTACTCTCCTATATTCACAAAAGTTCGGCAGTTTCGTCTAGTCATCGTTACCAACAAAATGGCTATCGTTTACCCAGAGGCTTACGAGCTCTACGATTTTAGAATTAATTTGATTGTTATCTGTATCAAATGTCAACACAAACGTTTTGCTCAATCTCTCTATTTGCAGTTGAACGGTCGGCTTGTTTATTTCGGAAACTCTGTGAACCATACACTTTGGCTCGTTGTTTAAAGTGCTTGAAATACCAATTATACCTACTTTGAGTCCCATTCACGTTTTTTTTTTCACATTCCTAATAAATATAAAAGCCTGTATTTGAAACTCAACAAAACAGAAACGGACAGTATTATTAAATGTTCCTTATTAACTTCGAATATGAATGACAATTCGAATAAAAAGGTAGGGACGTCAGAGACTGTACCAAATCTTAAAAACTAAGCAAACAAGTTTGAATTTTAATTAAGTTGAAACCTTTATCCGTTTCCAAACGAGTTTCAATGAATCACGCGCGCCTAAGTTAATGAAAAAGTTATTTCATTTGGTACTCTCTGATTAGTGCCTGATTTCTGAATTGAAAGTTAAGGTTTGGAATGTTTCACATAATTATTACTGGAGTAATTTTAAATTACATTTATGCTAAAATATTTTAAGCTTGGCGCGCTAAATTGTAACACACTGTCAACGATTCCATTTACCTGTAATGCATACACTGTATATGTATATATACTTATATATTTTACGGGATAATGATTGTAAAGCAGTAGAGACAACATGGGATCTGTATTGTATGCACGTCATTCGTACCTACATACATATGGTCATAATAAGTAGTAAAAATATATACCTATATGAGAAACAATTACATATCACACCTATTTTTATAAAATAATAAAAACCTATAAATATTGAAATATATAACAATTAGGCAAAACTCATCATAGTTTGTTTTTTGTTTAAAGATTGGCAAACAAGCATTATGATGATGAGGAGCCATAGCATTAAAACGCTTGCGACATCGACATCACTCGCGCGTTCCATCCCGCAGTGCTTCTGTAAGAACAAATTCACCTTTCACCTCGAAATCTGCGGTGTGATTTCAAATTAGAAAACGAAATTCAATTAAATTTCAAATCATACCGGTAAATTCGGCGGTGAAAAGTGAGTTTATACTAACAGAATAAGCACTGCGGGTTGGGAAACTTTTGGGTTGAAAAACAGGAATATTTTTATTCAATAAAATGCTGCTATTTTTGTTAGGAAAACAAAGCGTCAAATATTGCTTCTTCATATTATGATTACTTAACTTATGAAAAAAGTGAAGATTAATATTTATCTTTATTCTTTTTAGAATATGTTAAGAAAAAACACTAAGCCAAGTTCAAGTCGGCATCTACACAAGGTTCCGTACCACCGTAGGTACAAGGATATTAATTAATGTTTACAATGCCTACAGCCTACAGCAATAAAAATATGAATTCTTATATTTTTTTTACATGTAAATGCATGTTTAAATTTAAAGAACATATGACTAAAAAATATTCCACGCGGACCAGGCAGCAGACGGGACACGAACCCGCCTCCCTTCGCTATCCGGGCGAACGCACTGACCAAAATTATGCTACAGCGGCCCTGACGGCCGCGTCGAAATTCTTATAGCCATTCATAAGCTGCAAGGCAGCGCCATCTCTTCGCATTGTAGGTAACCCACAATGTCAAATGAATACTTTTACAAGTATTAAGCATTTGAAAGAAGAAATAGCAATTATAGTTATAATTTTTATTTTTTAAGCATGTTAATGCTTGACGTTTAAATCTAAAGAACACATAAATAGAAAAAAATCCACGCGGACCAGCAGCAATTTTGTGAAGATTTCAACTACACACATCAAAAGTGTCTAGGGATCAAGCATTTTTATGCGGATTTCTTGAGATTGAGATGTGGCTTTGTAATAAATTTATGATTTTATAAATTTATATGGATCCTTTTTGGTGCATTTCATAATTTGAATCAGGAACTGTGAATCAAATTCGAGTAAAAGATGAAAATCAGCTGTCAATATTTTCCCTATAAAAACATACAACGCATTGAAGACATTATTAGTGCTACTGTTTCCCTACTACTGATTAAAACCAACGTTATTATGGAGCGGCGACGTCATTTAAGCAGGGAAGAAATGCTCAGAGCCGTGGGAATGATAGAAGCTGGTTCCCGGCAACGTACTGTGGCTTTAGCTCTGAATACAAGTCAGAGTGTTATCAGTCGACTTTGGACACGATACCGAAGCACTGGTACCGTGGCTGAGCGCCATGGAGGACGGTATCGCTGCACCACACGGAGACAAGACCGATACATTCAAATCTTAACTCGAAGAGCTCCAACAATAACCGCCATGATGTTAGCCGTGAGGCTTCATCACTCTTCAGGGAACTTAATTAGCGACCAAACAGTCAGAAACCGCTTGCATGAAGTGAACCTTCATTCCCGAAGACCGCTACGGGTACCACCTATAGCAATGCACAATCGTAGGATTCGATATCAATGGGCTCTTGAACACAGAAATTGGGCAGAAGAACAATGGCGTTTCGTGTGCTTTTCTGATGAGTCTCGTTTTGGTATGAGACCGGATACAAGACGTATTCGACACTGGAGAACCCCTGGACGCCAACAGCGATTAAAATCCTGCCAGGAAGTCCATCCTTATAGTGGTGGAACCATCATGGTATGGGCGGGTATTTGGATCGGCGGAAGAACTGAGTTGATTTGGATCAGAGGCAACCTCAACGCTCAAATTTATGCTGAGACGATTGTATCAGACGTCATCGTTCCTCTACAAGTGCAAATCGGTCCCTTATTTCAGTTAATGCATGATAATGCACGACCGCACACCGCAAGAGTTGTAAGACAGACTCTCGCCGCAGCTAACATCAATGTCCTGCCCTGGCCTGCTCAGTCGCCAGACTTGAACCCGATTGAGCATGCATGGGATATGCTACAGAGAAGAGCTCTGCCGAATATGGAGGGTATCCAGTCGCAAGAAGACCTTTTTTTGTTGTTGCAACGAACATGGGCGGCCATTCCACAGCGTGATTTGGATGAACTCATTTTGAGTATGCCAAACCGATGTTCTTGTGTTGTTAGTGTTCGCGGTAGAAATACGGATTATTAATTGTTTAAGTTACCCAATAAAATTTTAGAGAAAACTGTTATTTCAGTCTTTTTTTCGAACTTTTGTGTTAGTGGTTCAAATGTCAAAAATCCCTTTATTAGGAAAATGGCAAATTTCTTTATTAATGCAAAGGTGACTTGGTTTATCGTTACTGTGACAAACGAAAACACTTTATTTGATGAATCCTTAAAGAAAATTTTAATTAATATCAATCAGGAGAAAAGTTATTGCAAAAATATATGTTGATCCCTAGACACTTTTGATGTGTGTATTTACGTATCTCGAGATACGACCTACTGACAAACGGACAACGGAGGGTCAGTAATAGAGCTCCGTTGTCACCCTTTGATTAGGGAACCCTAAAATATACTGCATGTCGAATAAGCACGTAATTTATTGAACAAAATTCGATGAACCGGTATTTGATATTTTATTACGGTCCTGAAACAAAAGGCTCTGTGTTGACGCAGAAGCAACAAATAAAGTGCCTGCTTTTGTGTGCATAAAGCAATCCGCTCTTCAATTTTCCGTTGAAGTATTTCTGTGGGTGTTTTGACTACAAAATATTTTTGAGCCTTTATAGAATCCATACTTTTGTTAAAACACAGCTCAGTTTTCAGCTCTATGATCACGAAATTAAGATTCTTGAGACAGCCGTAACACTCTTACAATCACTACCCATAACGTAGTAACTATTAAGTAATCTGTGCCATAACTTAAATTTAACTACCGCACTCTTAGTACAGTCAATCTGTAGGTTGAGTGGTGAAAAAAAAACCTAAAGGGCAAGTCTTGTTTTTTCTGTTGCCAAATGACGTCAGTAAGCCACCTTGGCGATGGGCATGTTCAACTCGTAGGCGTTTTTTGAAAAACTCAATAAAACCCTCAAAAATTTTTTGAGGGTTTACAACTTTTGTATAAACACTTTTTTTGTATTACTTACCGTTTTCAAGTTATAAATTGCGCAGTTATGAAAAATCCAATAGAGCTGTTTTGGGCAGTTCAAGTACACATTTGCAGTGCACATATCAATGTACTCTTTTACTATTTTTTTTTCAATCATGAAAATTGGATTAAAAGTTTATACAAAAGTTGTTGGTAATTATGTACGAAACAACTTTTCCATTGAAAGTTTTTCATTAAAATGATATTTTCAGGGTGAAAAAGTGAAAAAACACTTTTTTGAGACTTTAGCGCCACCTACAATGCGCATTTTTTGTTATACGAGATTGCAACAATGACATAAATTGTAGTACTCAACGTCCTCTACAATTATGGTCGAAAAAAAAGTTTCTAAAATGCATACAAAACAAGAAAAATGCGTTTCAAAACATTTTTGAGGGTTTTATTGAGTTTTTCAAAAAACGCCTACGAGTTGAACATGCTTTCAACAAGGTGGCTTACTGACGTCATTTGGCAACAGAAAAAACAAGACTTACCTTTTAAGTTTTTTTTCACTGAAATGATTTTTTTTTCGACAGATTGACTGTACTATCTTGCTCTGAGGCATCAAGCAACTTTAACGTGTAATTCAAGTTTTTACTGTCACTTTCTTTGCGGCAACAATAGAGTAACACAACACGTGACTTTAAATGTCATTACATTATTTGATCTCCACGATTGCAGCAGTAAAATAATTTTGTTGCACTAGCTTTAAGCATCACTAACATAAAAAGTAGTCCAAGATATCACTTTGATACGGCGCGAACTATACTTACTTACGTTACTTTGAGTTAAAAACTTGAAATATTTCAAAATATTTCTTTAACTTTTAAGAAATCTCGAAGGACATTAAAAGGCTCAGAAGTCAACAGCCATTTTCATTGTGTCTGCTCCAGAGGGCCACGTGTGTGTATGGGTATCTTTCGTCAAGGCGACAACTGCGGTTTGTAACGTCACTTGGAGCATTTCTATTTCGGCTCGGTGTCGCGGGCGTGCGAGACTCGGCGGCATGCGACCGATGCGACCGGCGCGACACGCGGCGCTAGCGCAGACCAAGTGTTAAAGAACTTTAGTGAGCGCGCATGTATCCCGAACTGAACACGTTTAAACAAACACGCGCCGGGCTAAATACACTTTTTTGACAACCTGTGCCATATGTGATTGTGATGTGCGAAAGTTTATCAGTATAGTTTAGTGATACCTACCCAAATAACGAATTGTGTGTTCGACAATGCAGGAGAATTATAAACTATGTAGACCTTCATTATTTTATAACATTAGTCAGCACATATTGAGAGTATAAATAAAACACTCACAGTCACAGAGAACACTTCTTTGGTAAGGACTAATCTTCAGTCAACACTTTAAATTCTACCCATAAACCAGTATATTTACATGCATTCTTTTAACTAGGAAATGACCTTGTTCTTAATAAAGCGAGTCTGTAGGCCGTTAACGCGATTACATCGACAGTGAATCATAATATACAATATCATAGTGATTATAATAACCTCTCCAGGAATTGTTTTATTGATAAACTTAATGTAGGAACCTAATGCTTGCAACGAGCGTTTCATCACAGCTGATTCTTGCTTTTCATAGAACAACAGTTCAACTTTATTATCAGGTCACATCGTACATGTGATAGAACAGGTGCGATATTATAAAATACTTTTGTCGATCGGTGTACTCGACGCATTAGATACCTTTGTTTATTCAGTGATAACGCCGGAGTATTCAGCGCACGTTCTGTGCCATGAACGGGCATTTACATTCTTATCGCAGACTCGACCACGTGCTCGTTGTGATTCGGAGACAGTGCGTATAGAACGAGCGGATAGAACCGATGACGTCATGCGCGCGAGTTATGTACCTAGGTAATGCTGGATCTAATTAGTTTCGTCGGTGGTGAACAGTGGTCCGTGTGTGGTGAGTGCGTTCCGAGCGTTGTGCCGTCAACGGGTCGATATGTTGTTGCATGGTGGCGGGATATCGAGAGGGCCTGTACAACGGAGTCGCTTAGGTCCTTGCGTAGTTCCATGCTGGCCTGGGGCAGGGGCAGCGCAGGCACGTCGAAGCCTGTGCCCCCGCGCGCCCCGCCCCGCCAGAACCGTCTCCGCTCGTCGCCACCGCGCGATGACAGCGAGGCTGACAGCGACCGGGACGCCGAAGGCCCGGTGCTCAAGGGCGCCGCCGCCCTGGCTCGAAGACGACACGCCATAAAAATCAAAAGGAAATCGAAGATCGTCTACAGAGTACTAAGGTTTGTTTTTCTTTGTCATCGACTCTAATATAGTAGGTAACTATTATGTTGGTTCGAGGGGCCGCACGGGGGGTCGAGTGTTATTGTTAGACGATTTAGGGCGATCAATGAACGACCAACCTGCAAGCAAGCAAGGAACTAGCAAACATCAATTTGTAGTCCTTTGTGACCATATTTCAAAGCAGGAAAAAATAAACATAGATATTTAAATACAAAATGTTCCTGCTATATTTTGCATAATCGTATTATTTAAAGTTCTTTAGTTACTCTATACGTAACTATAGAATTCAATGGTTTTTTTACTAAATTCGGTAAGCACACCAAACATATTTATTAATAGCGCTTATTCCAGAAATACGTCAACTTTTTATCTAAGTATAAAATAAGTAGGTAACCTTATTTCAGAAACACGCCAACTAATCAAAAACTCAATTACGAGGTACCTCTAGTTGTGTGTGTACAAGTTCTGTGGTGGACAATTATGTAGGTATATCCACAGAATAAAGCAAAGGCAAATCCTTTCATGCCTTCACAGAATCACGTAGTTACTGCCCAATCATGTCCGCGTATTTGTCAAAAGCGTCGATATTGTGCGGTGCCGTGGCGTAGTCCGCAGAGAGCGACCGGGCCATTAGACATTCCGCCCGCGTTCGTGCCGTGCCGGGCCGGCGGCGTCGACGACCGACGAATGCTGCAACAGGTATCCGTTGTGATGCTAACATTACTAGGCGAACGTATTTTGTCGTCGGCAAATCACACCATCGGAATGAAAATGACCTAAACAAATTGGTTTGGACTCTTTTTCTTCACAGGTTGGAGAGTAAGCTTATTAAGGTCAATTTGTAGCAAAGACAGAAATAGCAGACATTTTGAGTTAGGTCACTTTTGTCAATTAGTTTGTCAATATAAAGGACGAAATGTTGATAATATATCGCTCGTTATACGCTCCATCAAATCTAATTGAGATGTTTCGATAAATATGTTTTAACAATATTTTATTTATACTGTCGTTTCTCAGTATAAACAATAGGTAAGTAGTACTTTCTTCTTATGAAATAGAAGCTGGGCATCAGCGCCTTCATGTGATGCATACGTTTTCCGAATAAAATAAAATAAAATAGAAGAAAATACTTTCTGTACAAACTTTGATTGTCTATTTAGTTTTTGGGTATGCTCATGATTAGAGAATCATGAGCATAGCTGAATAAAGATTCAGCCCGAGAGCCGAGATGGGGTCTACGGTGAAGAGAGCTTACCCAGAAGGAGCCTATTAAAAATAAATAATAATATTAAATTAAGCCTCCATTATAGTTATTTAATTATTTATCCCCCTTTTTCACCTAATTTTCCCTGCAAAAAGTGAACTAAGTTTTCTTCTCATCTTCATACTATTTCTACAATATAGGTTTAGCGGTACTGATGTGAAAAAGTCATACAAGACTCGGTTACTTACGCAATAATATTATTAGAGAGTTTTCAGAAAAAGTTGGTTTGTATTATAATCTCTAGAGGAAGTCCGGGAGAGTTGAATCACTTTTAATATAAAACATAATTACTTGTTTATTGGGTTAAGAGAATCGTTTATACACTTATGCGATGCCTTACTTTAGTAGATACATTTGTGCTTAATTGTATTGCTAATAAATTCGCAGGTAAAATTTTATTGGCATTTTACTAAAAAATGAGAGATGAGTCAAGTCTCCCCACCAGCAGGGACACTCGAACCGGGGTATGGGGAGAGCTGACCATATTATTTTTGTGGAAAATAAAAATCATTTTCAGCTTTAATCATAGTTTTATTATATTATTTTAACGATAATTAACTTGATTTTAATACTGCCATCTAAGAAAATGTAATTGACATAACATTTTTTTGGAAAATTGTTCCCAAATAAATAAAATCGCAATAGTAACTTTTTATATAAACAATTAAACATAATGAAACTTTAGCAGTGTTTCTAATATTAACTTTTTATTATAACATTTAGTATCATTTACCAGTCTTAATATACTTTTAAATTATATCTTCCTCAGAAATAATTATCTTAACAAAATAACCAAACATTACAAGAAGACAAGAAGCTTTTCCTCGGCTGTTGAAAATACTTGTGATGCTTTGTATTGACTGTTTTTTTCTTCAAATTTATGAATTTTATCTTCATTTAATTTATACCTTCTCAAAGTACTTCTATCAATGCCATATTTATTTGAAGTTTGCCTAATAGAAGCGCCTCCCTTAATTTCATCTATGGCATTTTGCAACTCCACTTTTGTGTGTTTTTTTCGTTTGCGTGCATTTTCAGGAAGCTTGTATTAAAAGGCATCGTACAAGTTGGCACTGCAAATACAATAAATTATATTAAGACAGAAAAAAAAACAATTAAACAAAATTAAGTATAATTTCCCTGCACAGGTAGACATGAACCACTGAGCAAATCTCCCGCGCACACTAATTTCGCTTTGAGGTTATGACAAAGAAAAACCTCAGATCGTAGAGAAAAAACACTTAGCACACGTCAAACTACATTTGTTTCGCAATATTATAATAGCAACACACAATACGTACCGACAGCAATCACAAAACAACTTAAAATAAAAAAAAAATACTCCGCAGCAACAAAAACACGTTTTACATTGTCATTGACGAACAACACCGCTATGGTGCAAAATCACTGCATATCTATGATTGGCCTTTAGCATGCGACCAATGAACGTTTTGTCGTTTCGTTCGCGCTTTTAAATACAATTTTGAAAGGTGGCTCAACTTTCCCACCTGGGATGACTCCCGGTTTTCCCCTACATTAAAAAAGCAACACAACGCTCAGACCAGTCGACGTATTGAACTGAAATTTGGCAAACATATATGCAGTAATTCTAACGTAGGTAGGCATTCAGTAAGAAAGTGTTATTTTTAATATGAACTTATATTTAACTTATAAATTTGTAAATGCGCATATAAAAACTTTTCTGTGAACCAAGAGGTAAAATAAGGGATGAAAGTTTGTATGAAACCCCTTCCATTATGAATACAATCATCACAGTACCAATCTAAAGATTAGTAGATGAGCTTATGGTTGACAACAAAAGTTTACTATTAGATTTTTTTGGCAATTTATTCTATAAGGGTAAAATATTCGATGAATGTCTTTATGACACTAAGCTCATTTTAATGATAGAAAGGAGATTGCTCAGCTTCCATACATGTTTGGCCTAAAGACCAATGATCATGAAAAATTGTTTCATAGATTTGAAATTATATATAAATTACTGTAGAAACGAATATTATTGACGGACACCCCTGACAACTTCTATAAACCATATACACTGAACATATTATAATAATAAAAAATAAATAAGTTATATAGTAAACTAGGGAAATCAAGCCAAGTACCGAAATTATGGATTAGATTCAGGTATATAGAGCATGTAGATTAACAGATAGTTGCCTGTTTTTAAAGTTAATGCATAAGAGTAACTTTTAAAATCAGGTGTCATTTCCGGTTATAATAAGGTAGGTACTCTGTGACAGAAACTGTGTGATGATTGTGAATGAGCCACAGATTAGAGAGAATTTTGAAACTCTCGTTAACCAAAGAAAGCTAAGAGATTTAGGTTCTATAGCCATATATTCAGTAGCTTCACTATTTTTGTTATGTTTTTAAGATAACCATATTTTAGATTTTTAGTGTATCACACCTTATAATTTTATTTATTTATTAATTTATAGTCAGGGAACGTAGGCCCATAGATAAACATACCTTAAACTCTAACATATATACAGATTATAATGTGTTTATGGAGGTGTTTGGCGAAAAATGTATGGCAATAGACTTTATGATGTCGCCTACCATCTATAATAATTGTCTGAGCACATTTGCATCTAGTGAAAATGATAATATAGTTGTGGATATTAATACCACAGTGTAATAAAAAAAAATATTTTATCGATCTGTACAAGATAGATTTGTTTTTATGTTATATAAACAACTTCGATCAGCCTTTGGCTGAATGTTACTACACCCATAGCCATTAAAAATGATTAGTATGTTTTCCAAACCGGTGAAATTAAAAGTCCTTTTTAAATTAAATATATTATACAAAGGTGTCCGTTGAAATCTAATGACTGTAAATTAAATTATAAATTACGCCAAGAATTACCGCGTATGTCAATATTTTTTGTGCATTTAGGCCAATTTGAGCAAATTCCTTTGAATATTAATACATGAGCTTATGGTCAGCAAAATGTTATAACGGGGGATGAAGATTGTAAGCCACGATAGAAGCATGAACTGAAAGCCAGTTTAATAAACCATTATAAAAGCTCAAAAACGGCTTGACATATGAAGATAAATTAGGAATAGGATACGTCAGTTACGAGTACATGGCTTATGATATTATTTGATTCATTCGAATAGGGGTGTGCAACTTTGAAGAAAACTTCGTCATCGATTAAGAAAATATGAATACATTCCATATGTGGTTAAAACAGGAATTAAATTATGCATGACGAGATCTTTATTTCTGATTGTGGCATGCACCTGATTATCCACAAAAATTGATGGTGGTCGTATGTGTATCGGTACTTTTTATGTTGATGAACACGCCCGATATTTTGAAACCGTAGTTAGCTATAAAATGAAAAAAATATTTTAAAACGGTCATCAGTTCAATTTTGTGACCATTCAATCTAATTTTTGTCCGAATCGTAAAATTTTCTTTGAATATTAGATTATAGGAGCTTACACTTCAAAAAGAGGCTTAATAAAGTAATTTGTTTGCGTATACGCAGAAATGCAGACAACTAAAAAACAGTTCACGATTTTCTATTGACTTTTGGAGAAAAAAGAGAGTAATAAAATTGAAGAAACAACAATTCATAACTCAGTACAAGTAAAACAGAACACTCATATATATAAATACTTAAGCACAACCTTCTTGATTATATCTTAATCACGTTCAGAAAAGGAAATTGTATCCACATAGAATATTTAAATATACTC